TAAAGCCCAAACTTTGCCAAGTACACACCTACAACTTCACAAAGGTGGTTAAAGCGAGGCCCACAGCATTGCTCACAGCTTCCTCTTTAAATTCCTGATCTCAGCCACAAGTGGGCTGCCTGAGTCTTTCCCTCATCCCTATGATAAATGCTCAACTCTCCTCAAGGCTCCACCTAAATTCTCACTCTCAGTTTATGTCCTGGTTCAGGGAGAAAATTCAAACAACTGAAAGACAACTTCCACAAGTTGGTCCATGGCAGTCTGCTCTGATTTATTTTTTCTTCCTATTACTGTGAGTAAAAATCCTCATCGTCCTGAGACCAACCCCTTCACTTAGCACAAACTCCCATCTCCTCTCATTATTTCAATAGGTAAAAACATCACTGCCTCAATTGTACTGCCACTTTTCCATCATCAATCCCTCCCACTCTATTAGGTGATTTTCAGTGGCATATAAAGGAGCTATAATTTATTGAATCTAAAATGGAAAAAAAAATCTGTACACATTTCATTTCCTTCCAGATAGCATCACACTATTTATCTCTCTTTAAGTTTAAAACTATTAAAATGTGTCAACTTTTGTTTCTCTCAAATTCCTGTCTTCCAGTCATCCCTTAAACCCACTTCAATTAAGCTTTCATCTCTGCAGTTTCATTGAGAAACCACTCGCAATAAACCTCAGAATGTCAATTCCAGTTATCAGTCTTCATTTATTTTATACTTCACTTAGCATCAGCAATCAATAGTTTTCTTTTTCTCCTAAATATTTCAGTTGATTTCTAATACAAACTTCTCTCTCGGCTGTCCTTATTAGATGCTGCTGCTTCTCTATCTCCTGTGCTGGTTTCTCCTCATATTTCAAATCCCTAAATACTGTATAGTCAAGGATTGAGGCACTGGGTCTCTTTTCTATTTATAATTATCTTCTTAGTTCCATATCCACTGTCATGGTTTTAAAAAATCTTACATCTGCTGACAGCTTATAATTTTCTATCTCGAGCCTGACCTTTTCTCTGGGTTAAATATCCAAGTTCCTTCTCTGCATCTCCACTTGGCTTGCTATTGGGTATTTCAAGCACAACATGTTCAAATGCTCATTTTTGTTTTTTTTCCCCAAGCCTAATCCATGCAACTCCATATCTCTAAGAGGCAATTTTATCTTCTGGGTGATTGAATTCATGGAAGTTAAAAGCATTTCTGTTCTCTTTTTATCCTTCACACAACACATCTAATCCATCAGCAACCTCTGCTTCTTATACTATCAAAATAAATCCAGAATTTTACCACTTAGCTCTTCCTTTATTGTCCAAGCCACCATCAGTGGTATCTGGCTTATCGCAATCATCATCTGGCTGGCTTCCCTGCCTTTAACCCCAAGTGATCTCTTACTGAGATCACTATTATCTGCTAAAAATCAGTCTCCTTCTAGATCCCAAAACCATGTTATGTACTGCATATGTTCAAAAAACAAAGTCAGTTTTGTTTTAAATAATCTGTTTTCATAAAAAGTCTTTATTCAATTGGGGTTTCCTAAGACTGAGCATCAATCTTCTAAGTGTCAATGACAAACTAGAGAGTACCCAGATGTTTCCACAGCCCAGAGAAGGATTTGAACCTGTGACACAGATAAGCTGCCACTGATCTTAGTTAAGTTCTGTTTGGACTGGAAATAAGACTCATGGAGCATCATGTTAGAAGTTCCCTTATAAGTAAAGTCATAGAAAATAATTTTTCTTATCCTGATGATCAAACCTAAATCAGTGATCAGTAAGTGATGAATAAGAAATTCCTCTATATAATCTATGGTTTCCTTTTTTTTTTTTTTTAAGATTTATTTATTTATACAAGAACCAGGGTACAGACCAGATATGCAGGAGGATGAGAGAATTCACCAGAGACAGAGTGGGGAACAGAACAGGCAGACTGACTGAAATGCACTGCTAAGGGGAGCAGCAAGCATGACAGGAGAGGTCCGCCGTGCCATGTGGGTATCTTGCCGGCCGGCCTGGATCAAACCCTGGCTGCAGAGACTGCGGAGTGCTTCTCAGTGCTGTGCTCAACTGCTTGCGCCACCAGAGAGGCCCAGTTTTCTCTCTTTTTAAAGATTTATTTATTTATGCATACAAGTACTGGGGTATAGGACAGAGGTTGGCGGGGGGAAGAGGATCCACCAGAGACAGAGTGGGGAACAGAACAGGCAGACTGACTGAAATACACTGCAGAGGGGAGCAGCGGGCGAGTAAGGAAAGGTCTGCTGCGCTTTGTGGGTTGCTCCTTGGCACCAGCTGGGGATCAAACTTGTGCTGCAGAGGCTGCAGATAGCTTCACAGTGCTGTGCTTAACCCTTTGTGCCACCTGGGAGGCCCAAGATCTATGGTTTCTTTGTGAAATGCAATTGCCAAAGACTGAATGGGGATCGCCTCAGTGTGTAGTAGCCTCCCAAGCCTGAAGATATTCAGTAGATCATGGATTCTCAACCACTGGAATTATTCTTAGTGGCAGAATGTTTGAACTGAGAATTAGTATAAGTACTATATCAGACAACAAATTTCTTTACAAATTAATAAAATATCCACACTTCTTCATGGTTATAGTAGAAGCAAGTCATATGTCTCATGTTTTCTGTCAAGGAGTTAACAGTCTAGTAGTTAGACCAACAAAGACAACATAGTGTCTTTGCATCATGCATTAGTTTTCTCACACTGCCACAACAAATTATAACACACTTAGTAGCATAAGCAAAACAAATTTATTATCTGACAGCTCTGTAGGTCAGAAGTCTGACACTAGGTTAAAATCAAGGTAATGACAGGGTTGAATGGCTTTCTGGCAGCTCCATGGGTGAATGTGATATATATTGACATAGCGAGAATGATCTCCTCGTGGCCCACAGCAATACCCTAGGGATGTTGGTAATAATTACGTATAAAGCTTTAATGGAACTAGCTCTACACTATCTGTTGTTTAGATTACAATAAGAACTTCAGTGTAATTTAATAAATTCTTAATATTTTCATTGACTAGGGACAGAATGGTCCTCTAACCTCTGCCTTTAGCTGATTTATATAGCAGAGGGGAATACAGTTAAGTGAAAACCATTACACAGTAGCATAAGGACTATACTACAGTAGGATGCTAAGGGAACACAGATGAGTAAAAGTTACTGAAGACTGGGATGCGTTTCCAATGAAAACGATGTTAGGTAAAAGGAAATGAAATACTCATGGCAGAGATAAGATGATCCATGAGAGGTGGAAGGTGACAGTTTTCAGTGTGGTTAGTGTGGAAACTGCTGATGTCACATTTATTACATGGCAATAAATGTTGAGAGGTGGATTAAAGTTAAGATAGTCTTAGGATTAAAGTTGTTAGTGGTTATTTTTGCTGAATGCATATAGCTATTTAGTAATCATATTCCTTCAAATGATGATTCCACAAATATATGGCCTGCTGCTCTTGTTGGTCCCAATTCTGGGCTTCCAAAGTCACTGAGCCAAGTGCCAGTTCTATAAGATATAATCACACATACTACAGAAGAAATTCAAATGTGACTTTTATCTCCAATCAACATGGAACATGTCATTAAATCTGGTAGACTAAATGGCTTCAACTACATCTTTTATTCCTTCAACTACACATTCATTTATTCATTCTTCAGATAGCTTTAAGGATATTAAAATAATCAGAGACACTGTCTTTTTAGAAAAACCCTAACTGTGAGAAAATGACCCAAGTTCTTTTTATAACAAAAAAAGATTAATGATTTGCTCATTTGTATTTCTAGAATGGAAATAGATAAATATTAGAAATAGAAATCTGCTAGACATGGAATCAAATTGGAATATTAGATCAGCCATTTATTTTTGTATGATCTCAGCCAATTGTGACATTCCTTTTAAGTCTCAATTTGCTCAATTTTAAATGGGAATAATTATATTGATTTTGTATAACTGGCCTGAGATTTATAATTTAGATATCCACATGATAAAATATATTATTTCATTTAATTCATTTCAACTAAAATGTCAATATACAGCAGATTTTTAAAAAAACGAGCCATTTAGCAAATTTAAATTTATTTCCTCTTAATTCTCTTCATTCAATCATCAGCAGTATCAAACTTTGTCATTAAAATGGATGATAGGCAAGGCTTTAGAAAAGGTTATTGCAGTCTTTTCAGATGCTTGCTTTCATAGTGATGGATTATCACTACACAGAGGTTAAAATGAATGATGGAAGAAAGTTGGCTCCCTGTGGGAATTTCTAAGAAACTGTTAAAACATGTACAGGACTGACTTCATTCAGTACTTAAGATACATTAATACCTGTTAATGTATCTTCTTTTTTCCCATTTGATGGACCATTTATTTTCTATAGGTTTTCATTTACTCATTAAAGTGGTATGCACCATTAGCTTGGATTTCTAAATAGATGGCAACATAATAAGCTACCTGCAGACAGTCTCCAGAGTCCTCCCACACATACCCAGAATTCAGCCAGCAGAATTGCATACTCTGTGTGGGGTCTTTTGATTATGTACAAGTTATTGTATTTTGATTACTGACAAGTTGTTATATTTTGTCCATTTCTAATAGTCTCTATTCACAATCATGATAAAAGGAACTCTTGTCGAAAAGCATGCAAGAATAGTTCATTCAATTAAGTATATTTCCCTGTTCCAATTTGTACTTGTTGGGCTCAAAACATCCTCTTGGTAGTCTTTGTATTTAAAATCATAAAATGTTCCATAAAAATTCAACTGCAGGATGATATTTTTTATAATGAAAGCCTTGTGAAGCCTTTTTCATATAAGTAGTATGAGTCCATCTTGGGACTTTTGAAAATTGCAGAAGTATATAAAAACAGTCCTCTTTTTGCCATTATTATTACCATACACTGTTAAATAATTTACTATGTATTCTATTTTTTAATAATTTCATATTATGGATATGTAGCATTATAACTTTGCATTTTGTTTCTTATTATTGTTCAACAGAATATATGGCAACATGAAACAGAAACAACATACACAAAAAAACAGCAATACAACAACAGACCTCTTGTGGGTGGCATCATCCTACACTACCCTCCCCTGCCAAAGACCACCAGAGCCACAGCAAAGGTAAGACCACGAAGGCAACTTTTATTCAGGACTATTGCAACTGGAGAAATAAGAGCACAGTAGAGACCTTGGCTCCATTCGATACAATGATTCATCCCCATGGAGCATGAGGGTCAGTGGATGCAGAATTACTAAGAACAAACTCAAGTCTGGGGAAAGTCAGACTGAACTGACCTAGGATTCCTGCTGAGGACAGACTGAAGAGATTACAGCAAGGGTGGGGTGTTGGTGACATCTGTGGTTGGGGGAGGTCATCTATCCAGGATGGAGGATTCTTGCTTACCTGACTTAGTAGGGTTGTTGCTAAAACTACAGTTTACAAGGAAATGCAGAGATGGGTCTAGGAGAAGTTTTGTGTGTCTGACTAATGATTGGTCAAGCAGAGAGTCTTTGTTACCCCAAGGTTTTTTTTTTTTTTAATGTTGCATTGATTACCTATGTTTAAGTGCCTTATTGAAATATCTTGTTTTAATCTCTAGCCGGTTCAATCTATTTATACTCTAACTTTTCTCACTGTACAATAAGAAAACTATGCTAAGATGTTTAATAACTTTTCTGATGCCACACAGAGAGTAAGACTCATCTAACTTTAGACTGCATAATCTTAACCACGCAAAGTCATGGGGAAACAAGATTATTACAGAAAAGATGACCAACTCTTTCTGAAGTGTTTGTCTAAGATGAAGCCTTTCCTGAAGAGTGGCAACCAAGTGCACGAGTTAGAGGGGATGTTAGGTTTGGAGGCATGTAAAGTGAATCATTCACTTTGGGATACCTTTCTCATGAGTGGCTCGAAGAGAGTATAGCTATGGCAGAGGGCTGCAGTGATGGTGTGAAAGAGAGAATTCCAGAAGCAGGAGGATGAGGGACCAGAAGGGGTGTCTGACTTTCAGTTGTCATTTCTCAGAAGTCTGTTTTGAACTGAGTGTTGTGTTAATCTACCCTTTGTCTAATGTCCTTTACAATTTGGGAAGAATCTGCATATATGTGACCTGATTTCAACACAGCAACAAACCTCTAAAGAAAATACGAGGCTACTCAAATTCGTCACGAAAACTGATGCTCTGAGACCTAATTGTCTGCAGTTATACTAAGGAGACTTTTGTTTCTCCAGTACATGTTTAATGGAGCAAACACTAGGTTGTCCAGCACTGTTAAGATACTGAAGAAGTTCCTGAAGACTAAGAACTTAATAGTATTGTTAGTCAGAGTCATTGGAATATCATTCAAATGGTATTTGTTCCCAGCATGGCCTGGGAACAGTTATTTCACAATTATATCAGTTGTGCTACTGTCTTACAGAAGGATTTATAACAATCAACATTTCAGTAAAATTGCAACATGATTGCCACTGTTCCCCCCCAGGGACTTCAAACAGGATGAATGCTTCTGAGGTTTAGAGGAAAACATTAATGGCATTAGTGGAACAATTACATTAAATTTTTGTCAGAGATGTTCAGACTTTGAAGGTTTGAATTGGGACCTGCTAGAGGTGCAGATGTGATGATGGTGATGTGTGTTGTCCTTAAATTGTGTTGCAACTACCTCAACAAACTCTAGAATTTCTCCTTCACATCTCCCGGGTCTCAACTGTGGAGCCCAGCAGCCACAATACTGTCAGTATCTGGAACTTTCCATACTTTGCCCTGTTTTACTTCCCATCTTTGTCCTGCTTTCTCCTAGGAACATTTTATTAAGATCACATACATGTGAATCCTACTTTTTAGATTTACTTTTGTATGATCACAATCATTGATGATCCCTCTGAAGAGTAGTGGTGAATGCAAGAGGTGGACATCATGACACCAGAACCTTAAAAGTCAAAGGCAGTAGAGCTTTGGGTTTGAATTCTAGCATCTGAAAACTGAGGTTGAGGATTAACTACCTAAGGGATCTTAGAACTCCTAGATAAGGGATCTTAGAACTCCTAGATAATCAGTGGAGACATTGAATACGTCGTCACTTTCTTTACCTTTCTAGTCATCTCATTTACTCCTACTATGTGCTCTATATTCTGGACTTATTTCTTTAAAAAATTTATGTCAAATAAAATGCACTTTTTATTTTCTACCATTATGTTATGTCCCCAAGGCTACATTCATCCGGTGCCTGGTTTTAACCCATTGGGAAATCTTGGCAGAAGATCAGGTATAGGTAGCAGAGCAATATTTGTGTACTGTTGTATACAATGTCAGGTCTTTTTCTAGGGTTTCTGGGAGACAATGTCTAAAATCTTGGGTTTCTCTTAGTGGTAGGAGTATCTAATGTTGATGATGCATATTGGACACCACACCTGAATTTATCCTGACAAAGTAATTCATGGTGGGTTCCTACATAGGAGGACCCTTCAAGAGTCAAGATGGGGAATGATCAGACTGGAAAGGTGAACCAAGCGATCGGAGGATTGGGTCTTGGAGTCAAATGATGTCAGTCTAACCCCCAACCTTTGAAGGGGAGGAGGGAGAAGGTTGAGTTCAGTCATATGGGCCAGACATTCAGTAAATCATTCCTTTGTAATTAAAACTCTTGACATCTGCAGCCCAGGTGAGTGTCCTAGTTGGCGAGCACATCACTGTGCCTGGGGGGTGTTAGTCCTCCCCTCCTGGGAGAGGACGTAGGTGCTGCATGTGTAAGACCCTCCCATACCTCTCACTTTGTTTGGCTTTCTAATAAAGTCTTAATCATAAGTAGAACGCTTCCTGAGTCTTAGCATAATTGCAGTGAACTGTCAACCCTCAGAGTTAGTGGGGACCCTTGAATTTGTGGCCCACTGGTCAGAAGTGTGGGTGGCCTGGAAACTCAGCACAGGAGCTGGCATCTGGTAACCAATATGAAGACAGTCTTGTGGGGGACTGTGCTTCCAGCCTCCAGAGTCTGCCCCAGCTCTGAGTGGGTCATGTTAGAATTGCACTGCAATGTAGCACACACGTCACTGCTTCTTCTGCTGAGATAGGGACACATCCTTGCACACTCCTGATCCTTTCCCAGCATCTCTCTACTTTTGCTTTTTTTTAAAGATCTATTTATTTATACATACAAGAACGGGGGTACAGGCCAGAGGTGCTGGGGGTGAGAGGATTCACCAGAGACAGAGCGGGGAGCAGAACAGGCAGATGGATCGAAGACACTGCTGAGGGGAGTAGCAGGCAAGACAGGAGAGGTCTGCTGTGCCATGTGGGTATCTCCATGGCCGGCCGGGGTCGAACTCACACTGCAGAGGTTGAGGATAACTTCACAGCGCTACACTCAACTGCCTGTACCACCAGGGAGACCTACTTTTGCTTTTAAGGGTGATTATCTGTAACTTTCTTTGGAGGACCATCTTAAGGTGAATAGAGCTATCAGGCCAGTGTTTTGGGTTGAACTGAGACCCTCAAATTCATATGTGCATACTCTAACAACCAGTTCTTCAGAAGGTGACTCCATCTAGAATAGGAACCTTTAAACTGGTGATTGAGTTAAAATGAGGCCATTTGTTGTGTCCTAATACAGTCAGAATGGCGTCCATTATAAGAGGGGATTTGGCGCATAAAGAGACACCACGGACACTCACACAAAGGAGAGATCATGTGGAGACACAGCGAAAAGGTAGCCATCTGGGGTTAAGGAGAGAGTCGGCAAATCAGCTAACATCTTAATATGTGATTTCTAGACTCCTGAACTGTGAGAAAAGACATTATTTTTTAAATATTTATTTATACATACATATAAGAGCTGGGGTACAGGCCAGAGATGCAGGGGGTTGGAGGATTCACCAGAGACAGAGCAGGGAGCATAACAGGCAGACTGACTGAAATACACTGCTGAGGGGAGCAGCGGGCGAGATAGGAGAGGTCTGCTGCGCCATGTGGGTCAGCTCCCTGGCTGGGATTGAACTCGCGCTGCAGTGTCTGTGGATAGCTTCATAGTTCTGAAGCTTAACCCCTTGCACCACCAGGGGGAGCCCCAGAAAACATATTTTTGCGGTTTAAGTTACCTAGTCTGCGGTATCTTATTATGGCATCCCAGGCAAACTAATAGATCCATATGTGCTGAGAAGTAAGAAAGGCTTGAGAATATCGGTCCGAACCCCTAATTAGTGACTGAGCAGCACAGATATAGGAACACCCCGTTGCTTTGCCCTCAGACAACAAGAATTTGGAGACACAATCACCGCCAGTGCTCCTCTGTGTGTTCAGGCTGGAGCTGGAGCTTTGCGTGAAACTACACCCTGTGTGACTTCTTCTCCCTACTCTGTTCTGCTTTCTCCTGGGAGCATTTTGTTATTAGGTCAAGTACATGTGAATCCTACTTTCCAGATCACTTTTGTGTGATCCATTTTAAGACAGGGAATTTATTCAGCTGTGGCTGCTCCAGGGGGATTGCCAGAGTCTGGCCAGGCACTTGATCAGCGTATGGTGAGCTTCTTGAGATGGTTGCAGTGGGTGTTGCCATCTCTGCTTATTAACCGCTCCCTCTAGCTAACCTTCATGGCTGAGGAGAGGCAACAGCTCTGTTGATGCAAGTTCTAGAGTATAGCTTTACCCCCTCTGCTTTCCCTACACTGAGACCACATGCGTCAACTGAAAAATGGAAAAATTACATAACACAAGAAAATCTTGGTATTTATAATCAGTGACTGTGATTGCAAGGTCTTCCTTTTTTTTATTTTTATTTTTTTTGCTATGTTTGTATCTTAGCTAAGAGAAGTAAAATAAAATAGAAAAGTATGACTTTGCCACGTACCAACCAAATGACCAGGGGCAAGGCTAAAGCACTTAAAGCTGTGTCTATCAGCATCTCCATCTGAAAATAGTGTTAATGATGTTCTTTATTATATATGTTGCTTCTAAAATTGAGTTAACGTGTCCAAAATATTCACACTGTAAGTGCTCAATAAATTGCAGCTTCTTGAGTTCTTGGGTCTGTCAAACACTCAAATTTTAGAGTATTAGAGTATTTCAGCCTTTAGTGGAGTATTTGAGTATTTTTATATTTTTCCTTTTTTAATTTATTTTATA